GAGAGAGAGAGAGAGAGAGAGAGAGAGAGAGAGAGAGAGAGAGAAGGCCTCATGTAGTCCTGGCTGACATGGGATTCTCTGTGTAGTTCTCCATGTCTTTGAACTTGTGGTGATTCTCCTGCCTCCACCCTTGAAGGACTGAGATTGTAGGCATGTGTCATCACACCTGGTCTTGCCTGTTAGTTCTTTCTCCCCTCCTCCCAGGTTATTGCTGTGTTCAGACAATAGAACTGCAGCACCATTAAAGGTGGAAGGATGTGTGGGCAGAGCATGTGGGGGCTTTGGCAGGGTGTGATGGTTAGTTAGGACTTTCCTTTTTAACACTTGATTTTTTTATCCTTTTTTCACTTTTTAATATGAGATTAACTTGTTTCTGCTGTTTAAGTAGGACCAGTAGAAAGTATTTCAGTGCTGATTTTGAAATAAAATTTGTCAAAGAGAATATCATTACCACACGGGTCCTGTGTGGAGAGGCCACCGCTCTCTGCATTTCCAGGTACTCTGAGAACTGCTGAAGGGTCAGGTGGTGAGTTCAGAGCCTTGGCGAGAAGAGCATAGCAATGGAGGGAATTTGCAGAGGCACCGAGGGGAGGGTAGAGAGACAGCAAAGATTCACGTGCCCGGGAGAGCAAGGAACATGCTTTTTACACTTGACTCCACTCCTCAGACAAGTGGGCAGCTCGAAGCCAGAGAAAGGCTTCCACACCGGGAGTGGAGGAGCATGGGAGAAGTACGCTTTATCCTGCCAGAGTTGATGTACTCGTCCCAGGATGATAGCTTTAGTGTTCTGAAAACCAGGAAAGCTGTTGGCATTCCCACTGTCTTCACAAGCCAGGACTGGGAGCACTGAAAGCATGTGTTGCTAATGGTTGCTGGGGAGGGCAAGCTTCCAGGGTTCAGATTGTTGCTGGGCAGGAGTCCAGTTCCTGGTAGACTCATGGGCTGTAAAGTGGTTGGTTCACATTTTAGCTCTGGTTCACTCAGGGTTACCAGACAAATGGCCATCTCATCACTGGCAAAGTATTGAAATCTCATTGCCTATAACTAAATTCTCATCTGTTTTCCCCTACCTTGTCCCCATAGAACGTTACTCCTTCAGAGCGTGAGGAATAATGCCTGTACGTTGAACTCGCTCTCCCTGAGTTCTTGCAGACTTTTAACCTGCATTCTTATGTTTTTGGAGATGTTGGCCTATTCCATGAGTGAGGAAGACTGGGCTCAGGTGCAAATCTTTCCATGTGCCAGGAAAGGCCAGAAGAGCGAAGACCGCCATGAGACTGTCCTGATTCTTTGAGAGCAGCCATCATCAGTACCCATGTTATTGTTATCAACCTGACACAGTCTAGAGTCACCAATACCCATACTACCATTGTCAACTTGCCACAGCCTGGAGTCACCCAAGAGGAGGAATTACATAGGTCAGATTAGCCTGTGGGAAGCTGTGGGGGGACTGTTTTGATTACTAACTTATGCCAGAGGGCAGCACCATGCCTAGGCAGGTAGTCCTGGGCTGTAAAAAGCCAGCTAAACTTGAGCCGGGTAGTAGGGTTTCTCCATGGTTTCTGCTGTATGTCTTTGATTGTGGGTGAAATTCTTGTCTTGATTCTCTCAGTGATGGATTGTTACCTGAGAGTTAACAGAGTAAACAGAACAGATCCATCCCTCACTAGGTTGCTTTTGGTTGGAGTATTTCCATAGCAACAGGAAAGAGACAGGACAGTTCTGTTCTACTTTGTTGCTGTGACAGAACACTGACCCTATGTCTGTTACGTTTATTTTTATGTTATGTTTATTTTATGTTATGTCTATCACTGAAGGAAGAGGGCAGGATGTCAAGACTGTGTCACGTTGACAGTCAAGGCTAACCAGGACAATACACAAGTGGCCAGTGCTTGGGTGTATTTCCAAAGCATAAACCTTTTGCAAAATGGATTGCTTAAGTGTGTCCAAAATGTCGGTGAGCTCAGCCAGTGCATTTGTAGATGACAATGTCAAAAGGTTGGACACCCATCTTTTCAGTACTCTTCGATCCTTATTGTGACTCCAGGGTTAGTGCTGAGTCTGGTCTGCTTGTGTCCGAGGTATTTGAGGTGTCTACCGTAGTCCTTCACACGGGTCTTCATGTCATTCCCACTGATACTGTCTTCCTCTGTGAGTTTTTTTTTTTTAGGTTTAAAAGTAAGTTTCAATCATCTTGGGAAAATTAGATGGAAATCAGTTATATTTCTGCATTTAAGAAGTCTCTGTATCATTGAGTGGTGGTATATACCCGTAATTTTAGCATTCTGGAGTCGAAGCAGGAGGATTGTAAGTGTGATATTTCTTCTCTTGTCCAGTAGTCCTCAAGCAAGCGTCCATGACTTTTGCTTCCTGAGTTGATGGTTCTGCCTTTCACGTTCCTTTTACACACCAGCAGCTATGCCGTGTATTGTGTTGTGCTTGACTTTTGTCATATGATACTGGGTAATCTAGAGATTTCCTGGTTGCTTCTTGTAAATGCCATATTTATACACTAGTCAGTTATAGGTCAAAGTGCATATCACCTAGTGTTCCTGTAAATTACGTTGGCAAATTTTGAATGTGAGGCAGAAAATATGCCTAGACATTGAACTTGGAGAGCCCTAAAGTCTTTCTGGATCCATTGCGTGTCTGAGTCTCCGGCTCTTTCAGAGAAAACTCTACCAAGTTGTTGTCAGGCCTACGTCCTGCATAGACCTCACAGCGTTCCTTGAGGACCCTGCCGGGTTTTAGTCGAGTGTGTGGGGAAGTATATGCCTTCTTTCCTAGTGCTGGGCCGCAGCAGGTCTAATGCTTTCCGTGGCAGGTCTTCAGATACGCTGAGCCGTGGCTGGACTGCAGTTGCTTCTCCCATTTACTGTGTCTTCGGCCAAGACCAAGCTCTTCACTAGGCTTGTAGTCCGGTCACTCTGTACTGTGTCCCTGTGTCCATGTGTTCCTCATTGTTGCCTTTAGCCACACGTGGAGAATTGCATGGCACTGTCCTTTAAAGGTTCCCAAAATTTGCTACCTCATAAGAGTTAATGGAGCATGTAAGAGATCAGATCCCAAAGTCCTCGTTTTGGAGCCTGCATTAATAGGTGGGCTCAAGCAACCGTATGCCTAACGTAATTGTCTCATGATGTCAAGACTCGTGGATTTGATCTCATTCTTCTGGCACAAAGCTGCTCCTTCTGCCATTTTTCTGACCAGGGGATGGAATACATGTGAGCCACCTGTCCTGAACTGGAACTTCAAATGCAGTTAAGACATTGATCAGGTAGTATCAGTCTCCTTCCTTGGACAGCTGGGCACAGGATACCTGTTGCCAAGTGGAAGTGTGGTAGGTGTTTTCAGGTACACTGTGGCCTGTTTAGTTCATTCTTTATTTCAGCTGGGGGTTTGTCCACCTGTTGAAGAAGCAGAGCGCTAAAGGAACATGATTCGTTTTGCCCAGACAATTGGGTAAAGCTTCAGAGAAACTTCAGAGAAACTTGGAATGAGTAAGATGCTGGTTGCTGGAGAAAAGTATTGGGAACAATAAAGTCATAACTGACGACAGTTGGTTCATTAGCATAGGAACATAGGGTGCTGGGTCTTGTGGGCGTGGGAACTGAAGTTAGAAAAAGCCACCAGGGCAGAGTCGGAGAGAACATTGGACTTACAGCAGAATCTGGGTGAGGTGTGGCCCTGGCACTTGCATCTGCCAATTGGTGTGCAGGAACCAGATGCTTACAGCGTGCAATGTTGGTGGCATAAGAGCCAGCCCTCTATAATCTCTTACAGCCAGCCCACTAATGTTAATGATATTACTAGCACGTGCCAGGGTTCTGTGAGTTCCCACCTTGTCCTGTGATGATGGCCAAGCTGGGGAAGACATATTTCTGTTGTGTTAGGGGTAGGGGTAATCACAGTTCGTTGGGTTCCTAAGCATATCTAAATGCATTCTGGATCCAGAAGCAGGGCTGTTGAGGAGGTAGAGGCCTTTAGAACAAAAACTAAGGAAAAAAAATCCAGTGCATAATTTACTTTACCAGTGTTCTTTTCTTTTTATAATTAGAATCACTGTCTGCTGGTAATGTATGGGTGTGTGTATAGATCGAGCTGCGCCTCTTTGCCCTCCCAGGTGCCCAGGGTTGCTGGCGGGTCTTCAGACAGAAGAGTCCTGTCTCGGAGAGCGCCCCTCTGGGCCAGCCTAGCCAGAATGGTGAAAATCTCTTAAGGCATGCGGCTGTTCTCTAGTGCAGGCTCCCAGCTCCCGTCCTGTCTCTGCTCCTTTTGTGTCTCCCATTCACTTAGTCTTGCTGGCTTTGCTCTGAGCTTTGCTGATACTTCTCTAGCCTTTTCGTCTATATTTTAGCTCACCGTTGGTTTGTTTTTGTTGGTTTGATTAGTATGAAGTACATTTGCTGTGTTTGACTAGAAGCCTGAGTACCTGATGGATTATGGATCACTGGACTTATGTTTGAATTCTACCCTTTGACGCCATGTAACATTTGATTCTAGCAGTCTATTGATTTCCCTGTAGAGCATCTTTTTGTGTGTGATTCTTTTCTCCT